AACATTATGCTGCTTTTGATTTTTTTCTCAACCAGTTAAAAATGTAGAAATCATTTTTAACTTTAGGCCATACGAAAACAGGCAGCAGGCCAGATGTGTCTTATAGGCCATAGGTTGCCTACCCCTGCAAGAAGGCATGGTAGATAGGTTCATCTTCATTAAGTAGAACACTGAGGAGGGGAAACCAGTAACAATGCAGTACTACCAGTTATTCGTTTGTTTCCTCAGAGCCACAGAGAACATATGCAGATGTACATCTAATAATGATAAATGATTTGAGAAGCTATCAGGAAAAAGATAATGGCTATACCTTTTTATATGGCCACAGGGATTAAATATTTTCTTCTATCTAAAGCAGAACACGCAGAGGAATTCTATTTTGTTTAATTTTTAAGGAGGAAAGAATAGGTAGATTGTTTAGTATTCATCTCATTTTCACATGTGAATGTACTCTTTAAGATTCTGGGTTCTCTCTCTCTCTTTATTTATTTTTTCGGTTTGAAGAGAGAAATTCTATGTGAATCCAGAATGGTGGTAATGTCCATTGAATTTATTTTGATAAAAATTGTGTGATTATACTTTGGTTTCTGTATTTATCTAAAAGTGTAAATGCAAAAATGAACAGAGATGGTATTAGAAGTCTCACCTTGCTTTCTCATTGTTTGTCCTTCATTTTTTAATTTTGATTTTTGAATGTTCTTCATTCCCAAAATGGATGAAAAACTTTGAAAAGTAGTTTCTAATATCAATCGCTCCATGTTGTACTTTCACACAGGAGTTAATGTTCAAGACAGCTGAAATAAAAAATGTTTTAGAAGCAACATGCAGACCTAATCTCTATGAAAATCTTAAAGATTTACAGTACAGGTAAGAATAAAACTATAAAGTGATCAATTTGTTATAATTTTATGAGACTTCTTTCAAGTACCTAATAGCATCATGTTATTATAGTACAACCTGTACTAAATTATTTTATAATTTTGCTTATAGTTATCTAGTTGCCTTGTTCATTTTATGTGGGGCATATATTTTGTGAGGTACTGCAAAGAAATGGAAATATACTTCTATTTTCTAAAAGGACTATCATAATAGTAAAAGTAGAATATCTTGTTATCAAGAGAATCAACATGGTTGATTGGTCAATTCTATTATTGAGCTATCCTGCAAACATTTATTAAGCATCTACTATGTGTCAGGAACTGGGATTGTAGTGTTACTTTAAGTCCTTTATTTTGTATAATGTTTAGTTATATTAGAAATTATCCTTGGAGAGCATATTCGTACTTTTGAAATCCTTGTCCTAAGGGCCATTTGTAATTTTTACATGTAATTCTACAACAGCTAGTGGTCATAAGGATATTCTGGCTTTTGAATAAAAATGGGCAGATAAACTACTAAAAAGAAGAGGTTTGTACAAAATTATGATCACTTTTTATTGCTAGGTAGATAAAAATATATATTACATAAGCAAACTATTTCATAATCTGGAAGTTTTTCTGGGATAAAATTGGCCATAATTTTAAAAGGGTAGGTTTCTACACAAGTTAATTATTTCGGTTTGGTCAGTGATCTTTGGGGGTTTGGGGGCTTGAGCTCTGGGTCATCTCTGCCCTGATGAGAACAATAAAGTGGAACTGATTATCTGATGACTCCTCTGAACACCAGGGAGAGTTGTAGCCACTGTGTTTTGTAGACATTCGGTGGAAAAAGGAAGAGTAAACCAATTACACCTTAACTAACGCATTTTGTGCTCAGGTTGAGTGATACCAAATGTAGACTTCTTCCTGCTGATTATGAGTGTCATTAAGAAAATGATGAATGACACCAACCTAAGTCTGATCTAAATTTAGCCTCAACTGATGGGGAGTGTGTGTGTGTGTGTGTGTCTCCTCCTCCTTGACCTGACTTACATATTAGTCATGTTAGTCACAATCAAGCAAGAAGATGGTATCAAAGAGGAGGTAAGCTACCTGGTAAACAGTGAGCTTATCATGGTGAAGGGACAGATGAGAGGACCTGGGTTTTGCTTTGTTGACTTTTTCATGACTGAATGGGCAAGATAAGCTTAAAAAGACTTTTCATTCATACAGGCTTTCTCTTTGTGAAAAAGCTCTCGCGGAATACCTGGAAACCAAGCGTGTGGCTTTTCCACGCTTCTATTTCATCTCTTCCGCAGACTTACTTGACATTCTCTCCAAGGGAGCTCAACCTAAACAGGTAATCTTTGTTGAAAGTCTTGTGTTATACTGTGTTACCTAAGGCATGTCACAGTTTCTCTATCATTGTCAAATGCCACCTACCATGTTGCACGTGCCAGGAGCTAGACTATCTGCAATAAAAATTTTTAACACAGCTACAGAGAGATGCCAGAGGCAGTGCTAAAGGAGCTAGGCGAGGTACCTGCGTGGTCCTCAGTAAAGGGAAAGGATATCAAATGTGCAAGTCTGAGGGCTCTGCAGGAAGTTCATGGAGGAAACGTTGGCTCCAAATCCCCTAGAATTCTGAGACAGGTGCTAAAGAGTCTGCTGCCTGGCTAGCAGCTTTTCTAGGGGAGAACGGGTCACTCGGAACAAGTGGTATCTTCTTACTACTCCCTCCAACTAATAATTATTAAGTTGGAAGAGTCTTTAGTGCTGTCAGAGGTGGACTGGAATAATTTCAGTCTCATCCTCTACCTAATCCTCTAATTTTCTCCTACCTGTATGAAAAGAACATACCAGCAAATAAAAGCAGCTGTTATCTTTTGTAATGCGAGGACTCAGGTCAGAGATAAACTTCACGCAAATCCAAAGCACTTCTTCCTTTAAACATTGGGAGAATGTTACCTTTCACTTATATCTCTTCAGTCATTCACACCCATTTGGATCTTGCAGTTGTGACAGCTGACATAGGCGGTTACCCCTAGAGTTGACTGTATATCACAGATGATTTTGAAGCCTAAGGTTGTGCTTTTGTCACTGTAGATTTGTCTCCACGTTCTTTCTCTAGATATTTTTATGCCATTTCCTTTGGAATATGTGTCTCTTCACACTACAGTTTCTTGAATTCTGCTGTTCTTTGGACACAGTGTTGACCTTGGTCATTCCTCTCTCGTTCGTAGTTAGGCTTTGAACCTAAATTCAGCTGGATGACTCTTCTTGCTGTTGATAATACAAGTAAAGCCTTGCTGTGAATAACAGAGTTGTTAGTCAGCTTTGGCAACATTTTCAGGGTTACCACTCAGGTACTGTTTAGTATTTCCATGCTAACTCCCAGATGACTTTGTAGATAAAATCCCTCTGACTAGATTGACTAAGAACCCAGCATATCCACCTCATTTATGTAACACACAACTGGATGTTATGGGTGGGTTTTTTTGTTTGTTTGTTTTTTACTAGTTGCAAACATAGCAGTTAGAACCACACTTGTGCTTTAGTAATCTCCTGGGAGCATCCTCATCACCAGCAGCTGGACCCTCTGCCAGGGGCGATTATATGAGACAGAGGGTGTCCCATTGTATTCCAGGTACATGTTCCTAAAGACTTCCAAATCCGAAATACTCACAATTCTGATCTCTCGGTGTATACATGAGAAGAGGGATGCATAAACCTGTAACTAGAATAACATTCGTTTTCTTTTAATTATGTGCTTTAAACACTTTTGTGACTCGTATATTGAACAGTATTAATTACAGAGATTACAGACATCAAACACCTTTATTTTTCTACAATTATTAATCCCAAACGTGCCCTGCTGAATTCCTTTACACTGAGTAACAGACCCCTTTATAATATTGTGGGTAGGTATTGCAACACCCTGGTCCCTTTTTCTTATTAAAAAAACAAACCCTTTTCAAAAAAATAATAATAATAAAAAATAACTAAGCCAAAAACAACTCAGCAAGGTCTAGTTTAAAGTTCCGATCTCCGCTATGTTAAGGCCAAGGTTACACATGATAAACTTGGAGTTGGGAGGGAGAGATCGATTCTTTTATTCTGCTTCCCTACCCATTTATCCTGGGAGGGGAGAAGGGTGTGATCTGTCATTGCCCTTCCTCAGTGCTTGCCTCTGCTTCTCTGGCCAGCAGTGACTATTCCTGTTCGTCTGTCCTCAGCAGCGAGCACCCACATGGTGGCTCTCTCGTGGAACACAGCTGCAAGTCCTCGGGACACGCGGGTATATCACACAGCCAACTCGATCTCAACTGCTGCGGTTCTTGCTCTTGGCAGTGTCATCGGCCAACTGGATACACCTTTTTCCTCCTTGTGTCTATCTAAGCAGATGTCCGAATAAGGGACATGTCGCGTCCGCTTTCCGCAGGCACCTAGAGTTTCTAGAAGTGATTTTCCAACTCCTCTCACTTGGTGACTTAAGGGTAGAGGTTGGAGGAAACGGCCCTTCTCTTCCCCTTAAGGAGAGTGAAGAGCCATGGCCTCCCCCTCTGGGCTGGTAGCTCACAGGCATGAGGACGGCCGCCTCTTCTCCCCTCCTCCCTGCTGTACTTTCCATAGAAGGGGTGAATGGAGGTGGGTGATAATAAGTGGTTGAGATGTGTCTTATCGTGGGCTGGAGGGACTAACCTGTCCCTGTTTGCTGTCTTCAGAACATGCACATACCCAGTGTCTGTCTGTCCTTCATTGAAGTCCTAGGCTGGACTTCAATGTACATATACTTGTCACTAGGTCTGTTTACCTCCTCTCAGCTAATCAAACAGAATGCTTTGTGCCTTAGCCAGACAACAACACGTTGGCTCTCAGGCCTATGCATCCCTGATGCCAGGTGTTTTTTCGTTTTGTTTTTTTTTTTCATTATTTTTCCCAAGTTACAGGATGAGTTTTTTTCTTTTCTTTTTTAATAAATTTTAAAGGTGTATCTTTCAAATCATTCTTTTTATTTTCACAGCATCGCTTCAGTATTTTAGAGTGTCCTCAAATCTCAGAATTATCATGGTGGTCTTCTCACCTACCTCATTCCTAGTGTTTTAATCCTAAAATCCAAATTCCCAAACTGCAGGTGTATTGCTCAGTACTAGCACCAATCCTTAATGAAGGGGTTGGTAGTATAAGACATGAAAAAGATTTTCAATTATAATGAAGCTGAATATTAAAATTACAGCATAGAGATCTGCAAAATCTCTCACAGTCATGCTGATGGATGCCAGCAGCCAGGCTGTCTACACTATGCTAACAAGAGAATGTGGATATTTCTGCTTACCAGCTAAAGGGATCTAGCCATGTGGCCACCGTGGAAATGTGGTTCACAGTTCTCCTGACCTGCCAGCTTTGAAATGATTGGATTTGGGGTATCTTTGAAAATTTGAGATTTATATTATTTTCACATTGTGCTCAAAATATGATTTCACTGAGATCTTTTAATGACATGAATTTAACTTTCAGTAATTCAAATTTACATAAAATGCTATCACACTGTTACTAAAGGTTCATGATTAGAAGAAGTGTTTAGTCGCCTCTGTGGTGCAAAGTACCACTCAGGAGTGACCCGTTGAGGCAGGAAATTGAAAAGGAGCCAAAGAAAGTTTGGGTCATTTAGGGCTACAGTCAGCTTCTGTCCCCGAAGTAGTTCTGCGCAGTCAAGGTGCGTTGTGACCTCTTGGTCACTTACTGTGGAATAGTTAATGCTTTTGGCAGTTACACCAAGCAGCCTGGCCTCACCACCCTCTTTTACTTCCTTCTCAATATCAGAATCAGTTTCGGACCACCAGGCACAGCTTTGCCTTTGCCTTTGGTGCTGACATTCCTGAATGCGCTCCTAGTAGTGTAACTGAGATAACATGGCTACTGCAGCTTCCCCAGAAAAGACACTCTTGGTGGGTAGATAGTGCAGGTTCACATCTTATGAATGACTTGAATTCTTCAGACCACCCTCCTCCACCTGCCATGCTGTTTAAGAGTGTTGGCCAAAGGGCCGACCAAGTGGCTCAGTTGGGTAAGAGCTCGCTCAAGAATGCAAGCTGTGAGCAACAGGGTCGCCGGTTCGATTCCCGGCCCGAGCTGAGCTGCCACTGAGCTGCCAACAGGTGGCAGGATGGCTTAGCTAAAAAAAAAAAAAAAAAGAGTCTTGGCCAACGTGAGAGTTTCTGCAGTTAATTGTGGATTTTGATCAGCCTGAACTCATCAGCCAGGGAGGTTCTGATGTCACGTCTCCCTCCAGTCTTGCAAGCAGACATTCCCAAGTGAAGAAACTTGAGGTGGAACACCAAGTGATGAAATCAGTGTGTCTCAAATGCCTTCACTGATTACTAGCTGTTGGTAAGCTTGTTTAAGGTCAAGTTTTAAAGATTTTCCTCCTTCTGCAATTCACCCTGACTTCCCAATGGAATGGATCATCTAAAGGCCTGTGGAAATGGGCACTGCTTCACCTGAGTGGTCAAAAAATCTCTGGTAGATGCTTATGGAAATACAAACTTACGGTGTATTTAAGGTGTAATTGGCATGGTACCGTAGTTATGTACAGCGGGTTTGAGTCACACATGATTCAATATTAACATTCTTTGATTCCTCCACTGTCCCCCCGCCCTTTTAGAAAAGCATCCTTTTGTATTTTTCAAGTGACCTAGTGTGCTGATTACAGTCAGATGGAATAACGTCAGTTGGCCCCTTTGTGCCCTTGCAGGTTATTACACAGTGTCTCAAAATAGCCGATAACTTTGTAGTCAAGTTGTTTTTAGCCACTGATTTCTAATCACTTGAAAAATCTTTTTGTCCTAGAAGAGTTTACACATTTTCTGTTCCCTCGCCTACTGTGTGATGATGAGTGAAAGCTTCTCCATCAGGGAGCAATATTAAAGAAACGCAAACTTGCAAAGTGATCAGCTACATTTCTTTTGTGTGCTGGAGTAGCCATGAACCACATGTGTTCGGCGATTAAACACTTGATATGTGGCAAATGAGGAATTGAATTTTTAACGTCAATACATTTTAGTTGATTGAAATTTAAAAACTGACATTTGACTCAGTTATTGGAAAACTAAGTGTTTTTGAAACAGCCTGGGTATGTGAATCTACTTTTCAACTGCCCATTTTATGAAATCTAGATCAGATCAAGTCTTTCTGATGAAAAATCCAAGTTGAGATATGCTATAAACATAAAAACACCTGATCTCAAAAATTTACTACGGAGAAAAGCATGTAAACTACCTCATTAATAATTTTTATATTACATGTTGAAGTGAAAACATTGTGGATATACTAGGTCAAGTAAAATACATTAAAACTAATTTCACCAGTTTCCACTTGTTTTAATGTGGCTACTAGAAAACCACTGCTATGGAAATTGAGACCACAGTGCGTTCTCTGAAATGATCAGATCAAGAATATATATGCCCAGAATTGTTTAATGTTTGCATCAAGAAATGTCCTTCAGTGACATCAGCCCAAACCTGCTAACTTGCCTTTTGAGAAATCTTAAATTGCAGCCTCTCAGCCTCCGAGTTTCAGGAATAAGGATGATGGAGCTCAGCACTCTCAGTGTCACAACCTGTAGTCCTCCTCGGACAATTAAGAGGAAAAAGGCTCCAGATGCGAGTAGCTAGTTGACAGTATGCAAAAGTAAAGGAGTTAGTTGAGATAAAAATCAATCGAGCGTCCTAGCTTTTCTACAGGAAGCAGAGAGCTGGAGGGCTGTTTTCTACATATGGTGGAGGAAGGGGCTGCCCTTGAGCTTTGGTTGGGGCTGAGGAAGGAATGGGGAAGAGGCAGCAACAAGAAACAGTCACAGAAGATGGTCATGGTTTTGGCCGTCTTGCCATTGCCTCTAGGTACCTTTGAGCAGCAAGGAATAGAGGCTGCTCCCCTAAGTTCAGTTTGTCACAGAAATTGCCAAGTGAGAGCAGCTCTCCTGGGCATAATTTAGGAATGTCATCTTTTAAATGGATGCCTTTGTATAGTATAAAGGCAGCCTGATACCCGAAGGACTTAGGCACTTAGGTATGTGACAAGAAAATAGACAATCTAACATTTAGATAAATATGCCATAAATTATATATCCAGTGGGGATTATCTTTGACTGTCTTTGCAAATAGTTAATATATAGTTGGCTAAAATTGTATAATAACATATGTAATTTTTTTTTATTTTTTAATTTTGCAAATGTGTTGCCACTACTTAGAATCCTGTTGCAGTTCTTTTATTGGAATTCTCTTCATAGCCAAGTTACACAACAAAATCAGGATTATTACATTGTGGGATTAAAATAAAGTATCATTTTAATGTTATGAGATCCAAATATGAAATCTTACAAATGTGGTGTTCCCACCCAGGAGTTGTAGGTCTTGCTGTGAAATCTGAGACTCCTGGTCTTGGTCTTTGTTTGTCATCACTTGTAGATAGAAGCACCTGATTTTCTGTAAACTGTAAACCGAGGAAACAACATTTCAATTTTTGCTGCTAACTTTTTAGAAACCGACTTAAGGTATTGGTGAAGTTATTGACTTTTTTACGATTTGAAGAGTTCACATCCTTTCTGTTTCTCTAGTGAGATGAAAAGATGGGCCTACGAGGTGCTCGTTTTATGTATTCTTTTTCACTGTAAAATAAAAGGTCTTTCCAAACACCAAACTAGGAAAAAGGAATTTTAATTTTGTGGTAGCAAACACACAGAGATCTCATTAGAAATGAAACAAATTTGAAGATGACAAGGTTCCCATCAGTTTTAAAAACCAGCCCTGTTTACTCAGAAGCTTTAAATGGAAGACAGGATATGAAAACATCTGACTTCAGACATATCCCGTCTACATAATAGGAGAGCAGTAAGCCATGGGGTTTGCATTTCCTGGTCGCTGGCTGAGTGACTCCAGGCCTGGAAGTTCTTTTAAAACTATTTTCTCACCAAAGCAATAATGTGTGAGGGTGTCTGATGGTTGAGGTCTCATTTATCCTGCAGCTTTTCACCTGAATATTATTGAGGCCCATTACACAGTAGAAGCCATTAAACATCTGTGCACTTCCTGGCCACTTCAGCTGTGACAGTGAATTGTTAGATTATTGGAGATACTTTCTGCGTGTAAGTGTCCTTGGGGTAATGTACAGGGATGGAGGAGAATATGATAACCCAAACAGTGATCATCAGCCACTGCTCTGTCTAGGTTTCAAGTAAGTGTGAGTCTCAAAAACTCATCTGTTTTACACTCAGAAGATTTCTTGCTGTGATTTTCTTTAATACTAAAACTGCAAATACAGCAAAAATGTTAAGGCTAAAAGCTTCAAAGATTAAATCACCCTTAAGGAGTTCCCTACCAATATTGGTATTGGTCTTGTCATGCAGGAAATTTAGGCAGTTAGCTCTTGTTCCTAGAAGCTGCTATAAGGACAGTTATCAAGTCCAGTTAAACTGTATTTCAAGAAAAACTAATCACACCTATATGCTGGTGAAGCCTGTATAGCTTTAAGCAATCTCCTGGTTATCAGCACCTTTTATTTTATTTTTCTGTTGAGATTTTCTGTTGAAATTCATATAATATAAAATTAACCATTTTGAAGGATACGATTCAGTGGTATTTTGTACGTTCACAGTGTTGTGCAACTGTCACCTTTATCTGGTTTCAAAATATTGTTATCATCCTAAAATAAAACTCCACACCCATTGAGCAGTCTCTCACCATTTTCTCTTCCCTCCAGCCCCTAACAACCACCAATCTACTTTCTACATCTATGGATTTACCTGCTCTGGACATTTCATATAAATGGAATCACACAACATATGGTCATTTGTGACTAGCTTCTTCCATTTAGCCTGTTGTTTTCAAGGTTCATCCACATTTTAACATGTATCAGTACTTTATTCCTTTTTATGGCTGAATAATAATCCATTGTGTGTATATGGACAATTTATTTGTCCATTTATCCATCAATGGACATTTGGGTTGGTTCTACCTTTTGGCTTTTGTGAATACTGCAGTTGTATACAAGTATTTGAGTACCTGCTTTTAATTATTTTGGGGATATACATAGGAGTGGAATCTGGGTCTTACGGTAATTCTATGTTTAACTTTTCGAGGAACCACCAAGCTGTTTTCCATTCAGCAGCATTTATTTGTACCACGTGTAAGGAGGGACCACTTCTTCTCACTCCTGACACTTGCTCTGGTTTACTCTCTGCCCTTTACTCAGTGTGCCCCATGGGAGGCAGTATACCCTACCTGGTTGATGGTATGTTTTCCTTCTTGGGAGCCTACCTGCAGAACACACATCTTCATCTTCTGTTTTCCATGCCAGTGTTTTAGGTGGGGAGGCCTGTCCTGGTCTGTGCTGACATGACTGGATGGAAGACTATTGCTAATTCTGGTGTTCTGTTTGGAGGTCAATTAGGTATTAGTCTCTAAACTGGCCTCTCGCGGAATAAATGCTCATCTTTGTCTTTTAAATTGATTTGTTTGATTTCTCAAATAATCTGGAACCTGCATAGAGTTTAGTGTGGGGGTTCTTCTAAGATCCCACAATTTAGGATGTAAAAGGTTATGGTGAACTTTGTAGATGTAACCTGGAGTTGGAAGCTTAAAATCTAACTGCCACTTACTTTTAACAATGTCAATTTAATGAAGTCACCTAATATTTTAGCTTCAATCTTCTTATCAATGAAAACGGAGATTCTATTCACCTTTCTTATGTAACAAATGCGCTGCGGGGCTCATGTAAATATCAAAACAAATACACAACATGGGAACTAACACAGAAGAAAGATTGTACCTTACATTTTGTTTCAGGTATTTAACATAGCTTTTTTATAGTACAAGCTTTTTTATAATGTAAGTATAATAATGTGTCTGAATTTTAAAAGCTGGACCACAAAATTCCCATCAGAGTGGTTCCTACCAGAATATGGCACCAATAGAGAAGGCAGTAAGTCTCCAATCTTCAAGAGGCAAATATGTAACTGCGTGGTGAGCATTTACCACCCAAATCCTCATGATGTGACCAGAGTATCTGGCTATGTCTCCACCAAAGTCATTTCAAACTCTGGAATTGAAGAAGTGATTTGTATTTTGGTGAAAACCATTTTGAGGCAACTCTGTAACTACATAAAGAAAGTTTTGTGAACTCCTATGGCATCGCCAGACTACATCTGCAGTAAGAAATGCTCTTATCTTTTCTAATCACCTTGTCTCAGGTAACACGTCACCTTGCCAAACTTTTCGACAGTATCGCAGATCTGCAGTTTGAAGACAACCAGGGTGTTTCTGCACACACAGCGATTGGAATGTCCAGCAAAGAAAAGGAGCATGTCCTATTCCAAGCCAAGTGTGAATGCATAGGCCACGTAAGACTTGATTGTGAGGTTTTCTATGCTAGAGGAGGACTTTCGGGATAATTTGCTAAAGGTTGAATTGAACAAGAAGAAACCAACTCATGTCAGATCAGGCTCTGGTTAGCTTTGTGCTCGGAGCTTCCTGTTTACCAATGTTCAGTGCAACAGGGGGCTCCTCCGCCAGTCTTCCCTGTTTCTGTGCATTTGGCTGCAGCACCTCACAGGGTCTCAGAGATGCTAGTAGTTGAACTACACAGGAGGGACTGTCACAGATTGAATGAGTGGACCCCAGAATTAGAAGTGAATGCAGCCCAGTGACAGAGTGTCCCACGAAGCATACTGATTTCACCACTGCTCAGAGAGTAGAGGAATGGGGGTAAAGCAGCGCCTTGCAGTAAAGCATGTTTTGAAGAGGTTTGTGGTTCAGGATTCTGATGGGAGTGCTGTAAATGGCTGCTTGTAAATTAAGTGGATTGAGCCTACCAAGCCGATGTCACGTCCTCTAATTACCATGTGCACAGACAGTTAAGTTAGCATATTCTCTTCTCTCACAGCCAGATGCCTCAAAAATATTCTCAACAGTGATCTGCAAGAATGGCTTCTTATGATTGAAGAAAGAGCTCTTGGTGTTTTCAAATGATTTAGAGCAATTGCATCTTTTTATGATGATGTTTTCATAGCTTGGGTTAATCCACAGAGTAACTGAGCAGTAGCCTCTATTCCAGAACCATTTGGGTTGAGGCAGGGGGTCCTTAAAATGTCCCTTGCAGAAATGTGATGGCAACCTTTTTTTTTTTTTCTTCTTCAAACAGGGATTTTCTTTATTCCTCTCCATTGCTTTTTAATATTGTACCAGAAATTCCTGCCAAGTGAAGGGGAAGCAGATGGTGGAATACTTTGATTAAAATATATTTTTTGATCTCTTGGGCTCTTTAGGATATTATTACAATGATTAGAAAAAGTCACCATAAACTATCTTGACAAAAGTGTCTTGCTATCTGCTTCCTCCCCAGCAGACTGCTAGCCGACTGGCATAGAGCCCAGAAGGAGGACAGTCTGGTTGACGGATGTGGTTGTCATCAGCAGGGACCCCGATATTGAAAGTTTTCACCGTGCTCTAATTTATTCTGTACAAGCAACTTGTGTGAGATACTTTCGATTATATACCATTTTGCCCTCTAAGTGCCTTTATTTTATGAAAAGATGCTTTTACTTTAGGTCTTCCCCCACCCCCGCACTTTTATGATTGTTCCTTCCCGATTTAGACTATTTGTATTTTATTTGTCTAGTGTTTATTTAATACCTACTATATACCAGATGCTGGGTTAGGTTTTTGGGGATCTGGAAATGAATAAGACATGGCCCGTATCTTTGAGGACCTCTTAGGTTCATTGGAGAAATGGATACACAAATAGTTAGTGACAATTGGAAGTGGTAACTGTTGTGATAGAGGGTTGAGCAGAATCTGATGAAATACCAGAAAGGAAGGGATCAAGCAAGCGCTTCATTCATCCAAGTTTAGTTCTCAAATCGTAGTGAGCTCAGTTGCCATTGTTGGCATAGTCATCTGAACATGAGCTGGTATATCAACTTATATAGTACGTATCTGATCTTCCCCTAGAAAGGTCTTGAGGAAAGGTTGCCATATTGAGGACAAGGATTCCAGAGTATCTGGGAGATGCTCAAATGATGTCTGAGTCATTGAAGGAACTTGTTGCTTGGCGACATTCATAAGAGTTGTACTTAGTAAGGCACTGCGTAGATCAAAGACCCTGAACTCAGGCATGTGAGCAAAGCCCAGCTGTGAAGCCAGAGGAGAAGGACCGTAGGATGTTGGGGCCATTTCCAGGGCTGTGCTTCCTTTTCTTTCAGTAAGGAAGGCTGTCAGCTCATTGACCACATATCATTCCTTCCCAGTTCTCCAGAGAAACAGGTTCTAGGCATGCATGCTGCTGCCATTGTTATAGAGGCAGGGAGAGAAATCAGTTATAGCATCTTCAGCATCCCATGTGGCCCTTGGAGGATTTTTTTTTTATTATAGTCATTTTTTTATTGGTATGGTCAATTATTTGCAAATAGTGTATTTACCCTTTTTGTTATAGAATATTCCACGGAAACATATATGGATAAGTGTAACAAAGCTTAGTTGAATAGGATGGAAAACCAGCTGCAATATGTTTGTGGGAGCAAAATAAACTTGAATTTTAAAAAAAGATTAATTTTCACAAGTCAGCAGTTGTCCTATCTCATACTCTCCTGCTGTCTAATTTTTGACAAGTGTGAAGATGAGAACCAGTAGGAAATATAATTAAGATACTTGCTGAAAAACACCTCGTCTTAAGATTAAGAACTATGAAGATTTTAGAGAAGAATTTTCAGTAGATTTAAAAATGATCAAAAGATATATTTAAACAACACCAGTTTCCCATTTCCCCAACGTTCTAGGATAGAACTCTAGCACATTAATCCCTAGATGGCTGTGATGCTTGGTTTCTCAAAATATTGTGTGTTACCTACCAGAGGAGATCTTGATCTAGAACCCTTTTGTCTTCAAGTCTCAAAAGTGAATAATTGAGAATACATCCTGTTTAGGGTGTGGAAAGTTATTAGCCAGCTGTAGGTGACATACATGAGAAGGATCCCCGGGAGAGGACAGGTTCATGTAGGAAAAACACTTCATCTGTCACTTGTTTGCTTCTCCTTTGAGTTACCCCTGTAGTTTTCTACAGGGATTTAAAACAAATCCAGCTGAGGCCTCTCTCTGCATGGCCTTTGAGCTCATAAGAGGATGGAATTACCCCTCTTCCATAGTTAAACCTGTGTTGTAACAATTTATTTTGCTTTCAAAGGTAGAAACATGGCTTCTGCAACTTGAACAGACTATGCAAGAAACAATGCGACATTCGATCGCAGAAGCTCTAGCGGCCTATGAAGAAAAACCTAGGGAACTGTGGATTTTCGATTTCCCGGCTCAGGTTGCACTAACCAGCTCACAAATCTGGTGGACTACAGATGTAGGAATAGCCTTCAGCAGACTGGAGGAAGGCTACGAAACAGCCCTAAAGGATTTCCATAAAAAACAGGTATTTTATAGAGTCATGCTTTCAAGACTGAAAGGAACTTGAAGAAGTAAGCTTCATTCATTCATTCACTTACGCATTCATTTATGGAATGTCTTCTGTGTGCAGTGTACTGCGCTGGAAAATTTTAGCAATCGGTTGTTTAACTTTTCATTTTTGAACCATGCGTTACCCTTCTTCTAGCTTTCTACGTGGGTTTTTGAAACATCATTGTGTCCGTTATCCCCCAAGGCTCTGGTAGATCACTCCCACCTAGATACTAGCCTATTTCTTTCCTTCTGTGTAAGACTCCATCTAGGCTGATGCATCTATTTATTAGAAAATAATGTGTATGATTAAGAAAGGTGGATTATTGTTCAACAAAAACGAATGTTTTTATACATTTTGGTTTTCTCTTAATTATAAATCACAGGTGAGCAACTTTGGAAAATAGTCTAAATTCCATTTTATTCATCCAGTATGCTGTCACCTCTCCTTAAGCCTCCTACCTTAAGGAGTGCCCTTAGCTATGGAACAATTCAGAGATGTGGTCTTTCTCTTGGCTTATAGATGAAGAGAATATTAGGCTTGGAAAGGAGTGTAAATATTGTGTATCCTTCTTGTTTTCAGTGGATAAAGGCTGAATCCAGAGTAATAAGTGACTTTCCCAATGTTGCACGATTTGTAAGTGAAACTGGCAGGGCCGGCAGGATCCAAAATACTTTCCACATCTTGCCATTGCTTCTCTTTGTAGCAGTACTTTTAACTCAGTGCCTTAAAAATTAGACAGATTTGGATAGTGAAGGATGCTTGTAACACATTCAAGAATTGTAGTTTTAGAGTGTGTTGCTTATTCCTTTTAATTTTGCTTTTTAAATCTTGGGTAGAAACCACCTAACTTATTTAGGTTACTAAAGACGTTTCTGTATCATTTGCTTTTGGAGAAAAATATTTTCTTCCTGATTTTACATCTTTTGGAAAAGCTGTCATTGGTTTGTATTTAGTAGCTTGAAGTCATAGGATTAAATTGAAAGTGGCTGGCTTCCTCTAAGGCAATGTCTCTGCAATTCTAGTCAGTGCAGTTGGTATGAGGAAGCTATGTAGTTACACGTAGCTGAGATAATTAGTTAAATTGCAATGAATTCTATTATGCTTGCAGAAATAACTTTCCAGTTAGTTAATTTATTGTTATTTATGCTTTTACTATAACTAGTCTCACTACATATTTAAATAAGGATATTTTTAAATACTTAGTTAAAATAATACCCACTCTTAAATGCCAGCTGTTATAAATCTCTGCTCAAACTTAAATCTTTTAACAAACCTATTTCTATTTAATCTATTCTAATGTTTTTCTTCTGTTTAGTTCTACTTTGCCTCCAATTTATCATTTTTAGACTGTTTTATTAAACTGTTAGATTAGACTGTTTTATTGCTTAAAATAGTAAATGATATTTTATGAACATTTATTTATATCAACCTTTTATTTTCAATTTCTTGATTTATTTATCATTAAAGAAGGAGAACATCCAGATATAGAAAGGAAAGAAAACGAAAGTAATTTTTTGAAAAAGCTTCTAGCACGAATTGAAATGTTTGACAAACCAGTCAATAGATGCCTTCAATACTTCAGTATTTCAGTTTTCCAACTGATACTATTATACAATAGTTTTCATATTATACTATTTTCATATTTAATACTATTATATGTATATTTTTTATTTTTTAAGTTGCAGAAAAGGAGTTTATTAGAAGTAAAATACATTTCAAAGAAGCAGAAGTGGCCCAGCAGTAGAGAATGGCTCAAGGGCCTTTATTAGAAAAGAAAGTGCACACCAAAGAGTTTGGAGTGGGCCGAGCAAAGGAAACTCAAAAGGCCAATACTATCATATTTTTTATATAAATATATTTCATGTAATAATAGGCACCTTAGAGTAGCCAACATTTGAGTCCTGTCAAGCTGTAGCTTGGTTCATGAGAAGTGTGTGCATCTAAATTGAAACCCCTTTAGTTTTCTCTCTTTAAAAATGGATCTGACCAGCTGGAGTTTGTTTTTAATTACAATTAGTCTTGCTAACACTGTGAGCAGTTTTTAAAATGAACTTGATTCCTTTAAAATAGCTTAATTTTAAAACTGAGATCAGAGTTGGCTATAATTGATGATCTGCCTAAACAAATTATTTCTTTCCTTAGTTCTCACTTCCAAATTGTAATGAGATAAATAATCTAAGATAATTCTTTTAAACTATTTTGTTTTTCCTAGACCTATTGTGATTGCATGTTGGATAGTGTTGGGATTAAAAGCAAAAATACTGCAGTTTGGATATATATCTTTGCCTTGCCAGAGTCTTTGAAAATATGGCAAATATAATTAATTTATCAGGTTTGAAGGTTCCTTGGCAAAAGTATATTGGAGGCTTAGGGTCTGGTCGGAAAGTGTTCCCACTCTTCTTTTATTATTGAGCTTTGTGAAAATAATCAAAGAAAGAGATGGAGGCATTTTGGACTTCAAAAAATTAATAGCTAATGTGCTGTGACATTACCCAGATATTTTAATATGACTCAGGATTAGCAATATAAAATTTTTCTCATTAACCATCCATCCTTGCTGTGGCAAGCCAATTTTGGCCTCACTTTCAGTCACTGATTGAGACATTCTTTGAAAAGCAAATTGGATACAATATTGATGGTGTTCTTATTTTGTGCCACCTCTGTTAGCTGAATAGGGAAGCCTGTGAAGCCTTCAGCTACCCAGAGCATATTGGATACACATCTTTTTTTTTTTTTTTCTCCTTTAAGGAAAGTGTGATCTGGTTGCCTCATGCTTCATAATATAGCAGGAACCCACAAGATCATAAGCACAGCACAAACTCTCTACCTCCCCTCTCATCAAAAATTATATTGAATGACAAGTAAGTTACATGAAAAAAAATTCACATTGTTCATGGAAATACCGGACGAGATAATTTGAGGAATGAAAAACTTGGCCAACCCTTGCTTGCTCTATAGAAAACACATAGGATGGCAAAAGTCCTCAATAAAATCTCATTTGGTTTATAAAGAATTTATCTGGGCTTTATCCTGAGGACAAATGCCCCCAATAGATAATCTTTTGGGATGTACAGGAAAAAGGATGGTTCGAATTGTCCATCTACATTTAATCCTTACCACTGACCCAACATCTTTTTATGCTTATGGATCTGAGTTTGTAATTATTGTGGAATCACACTGGGATACAATAGGCTTATTGTTGCAATAGCTTCCTCTTTTTTGTATATTTGAAGTATGATTTTCTCTGCTCTTAGTTACCAGTTCAATGTAACCTGTTGTCTAATGTCTATACATTTAGTCTTTATGGGTCATACAGCCTCTTTTCACAACTGCTCATCTCTGCTGTTGTAGTAGGAAAGAAACCTCAGGCAATTTTTAAAGAAATGGACATGGCTGGATTCCAATAAAACTTTATTTATAAAACAGGTGCGGAGCCAGAGTTGGCTCATGGCCTGTAGGTTTCTAACCCCTGTTCTAGAAACATAAGAAGAAAAGATCCTAAAGTGACTCAAGCCCCTACAGTGACAGATGGAGGTAAGAGAAAAAGGGATTTGTTGCTCATGTAGTCCAATCAGAGCCAATAACCTGAGAGTTGGTTCTTTGAACAGAACAATAACACTGACAAGATTTGCAGTTCAGAGGACAAAGCAAAACCAACAAAGGGGTAGGGAAAGGAAACATAACCTCTAAGAGAAAGAGATTTTTTTAAACTATATATAACAACTAGTTGTGATTTAAGTTGAAAATCTAAATTAAATGGAAGATTTTATATGAACACTGTTTTTAAAATTGATTCAAAACTCTGTATAGTGGTGGCTGGGTACTGTTGGATAACTATGATGTATACCTGAAACTAATATAATATTGTATGTCAGCTCTATTTTAATAAAAATCTAAAAAAACAAAAAACAAATAAAAAGTACAGAAAATTTGAGTAGACCAGTAACCACAGAAATAATTCAAATGGTAATCAGGTAGTTAAATATGAATAGATCCCCCTAAATAGAGCTCTGTCCCAATGGTTTTGTCAGACATTTAAAGAACAGGTAAATACCATGTTACATCAGCATGGATCAACATGTTACATCCATGTTCTAGATTGTAGAAAAATATGGAAAGACTTTTTACTCATTTCATAAAGTTTTAATAAACTTGTTGGCCAGTCTCACAAATTAACATCCATTTTTGGCCTTTTTCACTTAATACTGCTGGGAGACAATCCTTTGTAGGTCTCATATTCTGTACATCTTTTAAGCAGAAGTCCTGACTACCTTTGTTCTAAACCATCTTTGCGTGGATGTTTGTATAGCAAACATCTTTGGAAGATAGAGATAGTGTCTCTCTCCACAGCAAAGGACAGGTTGACTAACTGTCCAGTATAATAAAGGTAATATCTCCTTCTAGGGCAAAGGTCAGGCATGCTTACTATCTCTTATAAAACATTTAGGCTCCCCAAACTGAGAGTTCCTCTACTGTAACACAACCCATTGTGGGCATCATATGACTGTTTTTAGGTTATCCTTTGAAAGTTGGGGGTCAGGGACTGGTGCAAATGCTGATACTCTGATATTACTTAATGCTATTGCTGTCACTAATAAACTGTCTTTTATCTCTGAGCCAGGAGGCCCTTGTCTTCTGCCAGCATCCATTAATCTGCAGCAGGCTAACTTAGCATTCAAGTTGAGTGAAACCTCAGACCCTCCCCATTGCTCAGCAAACATGTTTTTGGGAGTCATCCATGTTGTTGCATTTATTGGAGGTTCACTCTATTTTATTACTTAATATTCCACTATGTTTATGCTGTTAATTGACATTTGAGTTTCCAGTTTGGAGCTATAATTTCTAAAGCTGCTTGAAACATTCTTGTTCAAATCTTTTTGTGGAAATATCTTTTCATTTCTCCTGAGTAAATACCTAAAAGTGAAATTGCTGGATCATAGGGAGGTATGTTTAACTGTTTAAGAAACTGCCAT